CCTGCTCGACCCCCTCAGCCTTCCGCTGACCCGGCTTTGCCGACCCCCGCCTTTCCGGTGTGCCACCCGCTGTCTCAGCCCACCGAGGCCGCCTTTTTTGGGTGGAACCCGTGATTTCATGGGAAGCCGCTTGGAGTGTGAGACAGAAAAGCACAGCCTCCCTGTGATGTGCTCTTTTCCCGGTTTCTAGTGGTTTCACGAAGAGACGGAGAGCAGTGATGACGCTGAAGCTCTGACTGTGAAGAAATTCAGAGGGGACCTGGCATACAGAAGGCAGGAGTTCCAGGTGGGGCCCAGCTCGTGTCTGGGGTGGTGCTGGGCGTGGCTCCTCGGCCGGGGTTTCCAGGGCTGGCGGCCCAGTCCGTTGCATGTGTGCTTGTCATCTCAGGCCTCCACGTTTCAGTTCTTTTGTTCCTGCAACTCCAGCAGAAGGGTCTCTGGCTGGCTGTGGGTCTGGTTCCCCAGGTTCCGTGTGATCATTCCGTGGGTTCTCCAGCCCAGAGACCCTGTAGTGCCCTGGGGGTAGTGAGCACCCCAGGATGCGTCAGGACCGGAAGGACTGCCCGCTGGGGCCAGGTTGCTTTACCCATCCACCTCCGTTCATGTCTTGCGAGTCCTGTCATTTGCTGATGAGACGGTCAGGCGGCAGGTTAGTGGCAGAGCCAGGATTCCGAGCCTGTGTGTCTACTGCAAAAGGCTCTGTGATATGCTCTTTTCCCGGTTTCTAGTGGTTTCACAAAGAGACAGAGAGCAGTGACATCTTCCGTGCTGGTGATGTTACGTCCCAGTTTCTCCTTCCCGCCGTGGAGGACAGTGGGGCTGGAATGCTCGCGTCGTCTTCAGTCCATTGTCGGGTCAGCTGTGACATTACAACACTCACTTCCACATAGGGGAGAGGTGTCCTCATCCTGAGTCCTTTTTTCTGTTATGTTTTCCATCTTTCTTTTCTTCCCTTTTTCTTCATTTGTTTTACGTTTCATCTCATTGCCAGAAAGCACTGCAGGAGTATTCCAGCGTCTCTGCAAAGCTGTCCTCCTCCCATTTTGCCATGAAGAGGGATGTCCAGGAAGGCCAGGCTCGGTGTCTGGCTCACCTGGGAAGGCACGTGGAAGCGCTGGAGATGGCTGTGGACTTGGTGAGTGCCTTCTTGGTCTGCTTCACGCCACTGGTTCCCGTGCCAGAGGCGGCCGAACAGTTTATTTTCTAAGAACAGAACAGACTTCTTGCTAACGGCAAAATCTGTGGATTTGGGTAAGCAGAAGAAAGCCATCAGTGATGTAAGAACTTTACTCTGGCGGACAGTTTGGAGCTGCAGGCGTAATCATTTTCTTGTAATATTTTTCTTGTGTTATACTAAAGAAATCTTTATTGCCTCAAAATGTCATCGCAGCGACTCTTGTCTTTTTGGGAGTAAATGCTCAGTGTGGAAGGATTGTGAGTGATCTTTTCTCTTCGTTAGATTTTCTTAGACTGTGTTCTCCAATTTCTGTAGTGAACATCTATTACTTTTATACACAGAAATAAAAAAAAGCTTAATACACCAAGCCAAGCTTAGTAGTCCTTTTTATTTTTAAATGGAATTTGCAGACTTTTTAAAGAGGTAAGGGCAGTTCTTAGCAATCCTAGATTCTGTTTGGTTTTGGTTTTAGATTAAGGCATTATCGGTTTGCTTGTCTTGACTTCCGAGTGAAGTGTATGCGGGAATTGGTCTGACCTGCCCAGTCCTGGCGTGTGGTGACCGGCCCTCTCCCTGAGGGATCGCTGAGGCACTGTGGCACTGGAGCCTTGTGCAGGCGGGCCCAGGGCTCAGCTGATGGTCCCGTGTGTGGCGCTGCCACCCTCCTCGCTGACCGAGCGAAGCCCCTGACCTTGCTCGCCAGGGCGGTCCCTGGGACTGAGGCTCTTGTGGCCAAGGGCACCCTGGATTGGTGCTTCAGAACGTGGAGGGCAGCAGGTTTTTGCTCTTTCTCCTCAGTGCTCTCCTGGTTGCAGTTGACTGTCAGGCCAGAAGGTTACCCGTCAGGCTCGTCGGGGAAGCCTGGGCGTGGCGGTGAGCCCCGTGGGCTTTGCCATGTGCCTGCCATCTCCCGGGTCTGCATGTCTGCAGTGCTTTGGCCTCTCCGTCCCTCTTTGGACCCCGTTGCTGTTCGGCTCTCTCTGGCTCTCTCCGCAGTATCTCTTGCAAGTCCTGGCCACGCTTCGTCCTCTTTGCCTCGGTCGTTGAAGCGGCCTCAGGGTGGGGGCCGAGCCTGGGTGGTCTCTGGTGCCTGCCAGTCTGTATGTCTCTGCGGCTCACAGAAGGGACGCTTGCCAGTCAGTGGACGCTGGGTCTCTAGAGCTCGAGGTGGCTGCCAGGCAGGTTCTGGCACTGGGTGGGGACTTCTGGAACTGTCCCTCAGGCCCCTGGGCGCCGGTGGGGCGAGATCCAGCAGTGGGCTGGGGCTCCCCTCCTCAGGTCTCTTGCACAGGGTCTCAGGCCCCCTGTCTGCAAGGCTCCCTCATTCCCTCGCAACCTGGGCTGTGCTTTTTTGCTGCATTTCTTTCCTACGTAAGGACCTCCTTTGCTGTCAGCGCTGGTGGTTTGCCTGTCATCTGTCACAGTGGTCACTGTCCTCTTGCATCGGGTAGGGGACAAGTGAGTGTGTAACACTGAACTAGGCAGCGAGACGCAAGTGCCCATCAGGATGTGAACGTCTGCTTACAACTTCTGTTCGTGCATCTCTCTTAATGGTTCTTGGGTAACACTTACAACAGGACTGGCTTCTTAAATAATTAGAACATCGCCTTACCTGGACTGGCATTCCTGTGTGATAGCCACGGCAAGAAAACGGCTTTCTGGAAATTAGGCAGGATTTAATCTCCAGAGAGGAGCTCTCTGGTTGTGCTCTCAAAATCCTCTTGTCCAGGTCTCTCTCATCCACCCACTCAGACATGGATTTCGTCCTGCGGTTCGGGTCTGGGTTTGATGTACGGAGACAGATGTGGTCACGTCCCGCACACGCAGTGCCCTCTGGTGTTGGGGCGAGCTGCTCTCGCGGGCTGGCTGGCTGAAGAGCGCTTGATTCTGTGACTGCAGGCGTCACTGATGGCGGCTCTGACGACCTGTGGGACCGCAGGCCGAGCCGACCGGGGCGCCAGCAGACTGGGCTGTCCTTGGCCTTCGTGTCCACTGTCCACAGACTCTCGCTTAGACAAAGCGGGCCTGTTTTGCCTAACCCAGAGGGCATTTGCCACTTGGCAGGGGAGGCAAGAGGTGGTGGCTGTGACTGTGGAGACCTGAGAGGGATCTATCTTCTGATCAGGGGGAACCAGGCAGCCGCCTTTGGCCAAAAACAATTCGGCCTTGGCAACAGTCACCAGGGAAGGCATTTGGACTCAGTTACAGCACATCTGAAGAGAGCGTCAGGTCATCCTGTTTCAGATGTCTAAGCCAAGTAAAATTTGGAAGTGGAGTTTGTTCAAATCCGCAAGGAAATTACTGTTTGGGTTTTTAGAAAGCCTCGGATATTGCAGTGCAGTCATCAGATATCTGGCTAGAGACTGTGAAGATTATGGTAAAAACTGGAAATTAACTGGCAGCATATTTTAGGTGCTGAACATTTGGCAGGCCAGTGTCACAGGGACTGTTACATCATTGTAACACGAGGGTGATGGGAATGGCTGGCAGCTGTCTGCTAGCTGGCATCTGTTTCTCCAGGTTGAGGGTTTCCAGCAAGAGATCGGCTAGAAGGTATCAGGGCGCCCCCCTCGCGTAGCCCCTGGAACCTACGTTTGGTTGGTGCACACCTTCGACCTCTAGGCGTCCTCACTGCCATGCCAGAAATGCATGCAGTGTAGTTCTCAACCGTTCTTTCTCCGCAGGAAAATAAAGCCACCAACACAGACCACTTGACCGCTGTGCTCTACCTCCAGTTGGCTATTTGTTCAAGCTTGCGGAACTTGGAGGAAACAATTTTCTGCCTGCAGAAGCTGATTTCTCTGCATCCTTTTTACCCTTGGAACTGGAGCAGGTTGGCAGAGGCTTACCTGAGCCAGGGGCCAGCCCCGTCAGCAGCGTATACGTCATCTCAGAAACAGGACAGCTTCGCCTCAAGTGACAGGACTGTCAGATCCTCCTCTCCACGCTCAGGAAAAGACTATCTTTTGTGTTTTCCCGAAGGCTTGCCTGAGAGCTCTGTGTTTGGGGAAGCAAGTGGCCGTAACAGCCAGAAAAAGGAGAGCGCTCTTCCCAACACCCAGCACTGCCTGGCAGACGAGAGAGAAGCTAAGTCGCTGGAGACTCGGGTGAAGGCGTGTGCCTCGCTTATGCGGACCAGGTGAGCTGAGAGCGGGTCGGCAGGGCGTGCTCACAGGCTCGGGGGAAGGCTGTGTTTTCCTGATTTTAAGCTTCAAAAAGTTCCCGACTACACACTTGGCCTTTGTTCTTTTTTTTTTGAGTCAAGTCTCACTCGGTCACCCAGCCTGGAGGGCAGCAGCGGCTCCCGGCCACCGTAGCCTCGACCCGCTGGGCTCCGGCGATCCTTCCACCTCAGCCTTCCGAGTGGCCGGAACTACAGGCGCGCGCTACCACGCCCGGCTGATTTTTTGATTTATTGTGAAGATGAGGTCCCAGGCAGTCTCGAACCCACGGGCTCAGGCAATCCACTCACCTCAGCCTCTCAAGGCACGGGATGACAGGCTGAGCCACCGAGCCCAGCTTCTTTTTTTTTTTTTTTTTTTTTTGAGTCGGAGTATCACTCCATCGCCCAGGCTGGAGGGCAGTGGCATGCTTACGGCCATTCTGGCATCGACCTGCTGGGCTCCGGTGTTGCTTCCACCTCACCCTTCCCAGTAGCTAGAACTACAGATGCATGCCACCACGCCTGGCTGATTTTTGCTTTTGAGGACTCATCAAGTTGTCCGGTCTGGTCTCGAACCTGCAGGCTCAAGCAGTCCACTCGCCTCGGCCTCCCAGGGTGCTAGGACGACATGCTGAGCCACTGAGCCTGGCCGGCCTGTGTTCTTGAATGTTTCCTGTGGTCTAGACAGAATCCCCTGAATGTGTGTTATTTCAGTATAAAAGACTTAGAAACAAAACTGTGTTTGCTCAAGAATACAATCTGTCATTGCTCCTGATAGAAAGTTTAAATTGAAAAACATTAAAAAATTGGGTAGTTCGAGACCCCCCTGGGCAGCGAGACCTCATCTCTACAATAAATCAAAAAATCAGCCGGGCGTGGTAGCGCATGCCTGTAATTCCGGCTACTCGGAAGGCTGAGGCGGAAGGATCGCCGGAGCCCAGCAGGGCGAGGCTGCGGTGGCCGGGAGCGGCCACTGCACTCCAGTCTGGGTGACAGAGTGAGACTCCAACTCAAAAAAATAAAAATAAAAAATTGGGAAAATAAAAATGCATAAAATATTGAAAAAGAGAGAAGAAACGTTTATTTATTTATTTATTTTTTTGAATTGGAGTCTCATTCTTGTCGCCCAGGCTGTAGTGCAGTGGCATACTCACTGCCACTGCAGCCTCGACCTGCTGAGCTTAGGCAGTCCTTCCGCCTCAGCCTTCCAAGTAGCTGGAACTACAGATGCACGCCACCACGCCTGACTAGTTTTTGTGATTTATTGTAGAGATGAGGTCTCGCCAAGTTGCCCAGGCTGGTTTCGAACCTCAGGTAGTCCTCTCGCCTCGGCCTCCCAAAGTGCTGGGATGACAGACTGAGCCACTGTGCCTGGCTGGGAGAAGAGACGTTTTAAAGAATTTTTCATGCTTTTACCTTCCACAGAAATCTAGCGAAGAAGGAAAGCTCCTTGCATGTTTGCGTTGCTTGTGGTGGGAATAAGCAGCGCTTAATTCATTCCACAGAGAATTCCCGTGATCTGCCCCAGGACTCCAAGTACTTTCTGTCCTTGAAGTGCGGGAGCTTGAGGGCAGAGGCAGGGAGCGCACCGACCAGTCCTGCCATCTGTGCAAGCAGGCTGGCTTCTGGCTCCGGTGCAAACGGTGAGGCTCCCCAGACGTGCATGGTTGGCAGGTTGTATCCTGTGCTCGCACTTGCTGTGCTACTTCCGTTCAGAAGCGCTCTGGGTGGCAGCGTGTGCCCAGCATGTCACGGTGCGGGGCAGTGAGGAGTGCTTCGAGGCAGAGCTTTGCCTCGCACGCTCACGGCGCCGCGGAAATGCGCCGCTAGCCCGGGCTGGCGGCACAGGCGCTGCGTGGTGCGTCGGCCGCGCCGGCCGGCTGCTACGTGGCGGAAAGCAGGGAGCCTTTCTTTACGGGGGCCTGCTCCCACCAAGAGGCCCCGCGGGGGCTTGCCAGCAGACGCCACGCCCCAGTGCGTTGTGTGCATGGCTTCATTGAGTCCTCGCGACTCGGGGTTCCTGTGAGGATCCCACCGTGTGGACTAGGGGGCACTAAGACCAGCCCGCAGTGCGAAGCCGTGACTTGCGGTCAGGGTGGGGACCTGGCCTCCGACGGCGGCCCTGTGACCTTCCAGGCCAGCTGGCTCACCCCGAGCAATGCTCCCTTGTGGGGAAGAGTGGGAGCACGCCGGAGGGGCCGAGGGCTGGGCGGCGCGTCTGTCTGGCGGCAGGAGCGGCACCGGCAGGACCTGGGGCGGCTGTCGGCCGTGGCGCTGGGCGGGCGGGACGCCGGGGCCAGATCTGGCTTGGAAGACCGCAGTCCGTGGCGGGTACGGCACGAGCGACTGTGACGCGGCAGTTTCCTTCAACTCTGGGCTCCGCTCTCCTCCTCTTGACAGACGGAGAAAAGGGGGCTGCGGCAGAGAGGAGCAAAGTGCTTCCTGCCCTGCGTGGGGCCGGGCGGCACCTGGCGAGGGCTGGCGGCTCGTGCTGGCCGGCGTCCGTCTCGGTGTCCGCAGAGGATGTCAGGGCTTGTGCTGACGGCCTGCAGTGCTGTGGGAGCTGTGACGGCCCGACGGCGGGGCAGGAGGGCGAGTTTGGAGCCGGGCCCCGGGTGGAGGCTGTGGGCTGACTGGTGAAGGGGTAAGGGCCTGGCCGGGACGGCAAGAAGAGGTGGGCGCCAGCGCAGGCTGGGGCGCCCAGGACGCGGTGCCCAGCCGTGTGCCTGCGAAGGGTGGGCTGGGAGAGCGGAGGCATCGCTGTCTGGGGCGCAGGTGCATGGTGGCGCCTCCCGGGACATGGCGCCCGTGGGAGGTGGCCAGAGCAGACCTGGTGGGGATCATGATGCTGGCTTGAAGCACGGAGAGTCTGGTGTGTGTGGGAGCTCTTTCTTGGGAAACAGGAGTCCAGCTCGCAGGAAGGAGGAAGCAGTCCTGTCGCAAGAATCAGGAGCTGAGGAGGGGGCTGGAGAACGGCCTCTGAGGAGGTGGTGTCAGCATGGTGTGACAAGGCAGTTCGCAGGTAGGGCGCAGACGAGAAGTAGGAGAAAGCGTGAGGAAAGCATGTGGGTGTCAGGGTCCCCAGGCCAGCAGGTGACTGAGGGTGCGTGGAGACAGGTGGCGCGCTCTCCGTGCTGCCCTGTGCTCATGTCAGCACCGCGCTCTTTCCGTGGCCGACGGGTCTTGTTTGAACCGCCCTGTCTCTGCGTTCACTCATTATGACCCTCTTTTCTCCCGCTCGTGTCAGCCCCAGTGGTCTCGTGGGTTTCAAACCTGCTGAGCTGGTGCCTGTGTCAGAGCCTCCTGGCCAGGCCTCTGCCCCGACGTCCTCCCGCTGCTCCTCCAGGCAGGCTGCAGTTCAAGGGGCGCCTTGGGAAGCCCTTCCTGCACCGCGCTGTCCGCAGGAGGGTCCGCTGGGGGGGCGTGGCTCTGTTTGGGGAGGCGGGCTTCCACCTGGGGGTTTGGCTCCCTCGGGGGGCGTGGCTTCACCCAGGAAGGCATCAGATCCTCTACCTTGGACTGTTTTCTTGGGGCTTATTTGAGGCCTCCCTCTTGCCCTGCCAGGAGGCAGGCGGGCCCCTCTCACCTCTCCGTGTCCGGGGCGGTGTCTGGAGCTTTTCCGGTGTGTGACCTGAGGGAGCCAGGAGGGCTCAGGGCTTCTGGGCATGTGGTGGGTGCTAGTGAGGCCCAAGGGAAGCTGGGAATATCTGCGTGGTCAGTTTCAGAAACAGGAGCAGGAGCCAAGGGGGAGGGCTGGGGAATGGGAGAGAAGAGCTGGCTGCAGTCCCAGCAGGGGCGGGGTGGGGATGAGGTGATGGCAGGCTCCTGCGTCCCCAGGGCGGCCTGCCGAGCGGTTGGGGGCAGCCACGGACCGCGGTAGCCCTGGGGCCAGGCTGCCGCGGGCTGGTGGGAGTCAGGGACAGGCCCAGGCATGGCCGGAGGAGCCTGGGTCTTGCCACTCAGGTCCCTCAGCCTTCCAGGCCCACCAGAAGCACTCTCAGGTCTGGCCCCCTAAACCTTTCTTGGAAAGTTTTGGTCTGTGATTTCTGAAAGGACGAGGCTCCTCTGTGAAGCCGGCAGTTCGCTGCATTGGAAGTTTGAGGGCCCTGGTGACGGCCCGGGGGGTGGGCGGCTCCTTGCTGAACTGGAGGGCTCATGTGGGACTGCCAGCCTGGGCTGGGAACGTGTCCCCACTGCTCTCCTTGTGTGGACCGCGCCTGGACTCTCGACTTTGCAGGCTTTTGCTCCAGCTCAGCCAGCCTCAGCAGGCCTCGTTTGCTCTGGAGAGGAACCTCAGGACCCAGCAGGAGGTCGGAGACAAGATGAGAGCTCTGGGCTTCGGCGAGGACGCCTTGCTGCTGGTGGCCGAGGTGAGTGTCTCCGGCTGTGGGGAGCCAGGGAGCAGCTGTCTTCCGGCCGCCATGCCGCTTGAGACGGCAGATCCATTGCAGAGGGACTCTTCCCTACTTGGATGCCCCTGGCCGCTCATCAGCCACCCATGTGGCCCGGCAGCTTCCCTACAGCGTGCTGGTGGTGGGCACTGCAGGCGCTCGATGACCGTGGCCCACCCAGCTTGTGTGCCATGGCTGTTTGCATGTGAGTGCATACGTGAACTAGCTCACGTCTGTGTGGCAGCTCCGTGTGGTCCTTCTTCGTCCAGTGCAGCCGCTGGGGCAGACGGCAGGGCTGGAGTCAAGTCTGGAGAGGCAGTGGCTCACTTGTGCTGGGCTTCCGAGGCAGAGCTGGGCTGAGCCCGTGTCTGCAGCTGCAAGTCCATTTCCTTTATGCTGCACCTTCACTGCTTCGATGATTGCAGAGAACTTTTTAAAAGTAGCATTTAAACCTTTATTGGCTTCTTTTTTTGAGTTAAAGTCTAGAGTGCAGTGGCATGCTCACAGCCACTGCGGCCTCGACCTGCAGGGCTCAGGGGATCCTTCCGTCTCAGTCTGCCTGGTAGCTGGAACTACAGATGCACACCACCACACCCGGCTAATTTTTGTGATTTATTGTAGAGATGAGGTCTCACTAAATTGCCCAGGCTGGTCTTGAACTCCCAGGCTCGGGCAGTCCTCTCACCTGGGCTTCCTAAAATACTGGGATCATAGGCATGAGCCACCGCGCCCGGCCTGGCTTTGTTTCTAAAAAGCTGGCTTTTTGTAAAACACACTGTTGCATGGCTCTCTGCAGCCTCAACTTCCTGGGCTTGGGCCATCCTTTCGCCTCAGCCTCCCAGGTATCTGGACTACAGGCCGTACCACCATGGCTGGCTCGTTTTTTTACTTTCTGTAGAGAAGGAGTCTCGCTTTGTGACCCTGGCTGGGCTCGAACTCTTGAGCTCAAGCATTCCTCCTGCCTTGGCCTCCCAGAGTGCTGGGATGACAGGCATCCACACCTGACCTGTCGTATTTCTCAGGCACTTGGAGATGACGTGTTTAGTTCCTCACGCCGTGTCCTTGGCTCGGGACTGAAGCCTGGCACCTCAGGGGCTTTCTCGCATGCGCAGTGCTCGTCACTCGCAACGGCCCTCACCTGTCGCCGTATGGCTGTGAGCCGGCCGGCCTCTTCCTTCCCCAAGCCAGGCGGCTCCTTGACATCAGTCCCTGCTCAGGTCCTGCCCTCCTATCTGTCTTCCTGCTGCCTTTTCGCCCTTTCTCCCCTGACCTTCGCTCACACACACACAGATACACCTGGGCCCGTCCCACGGGACCTGTCTCTCCTCAACCTGTGCTCTCTGTCCTCCGTGGCACGTGGTGCGCCCTCACTTCCGATTCCTCTCCCCTTCCCTTCCAGGCGGCTCCCAGGCCGTTCTCTCCTGCGTCCCTGACCCTCCTCTGCCGCTTGGTGCTGCCCGGTTCCTCCTAGTCCGTCGTGGCGCCTCTGAGGCTTCCCTCTGCCCTCCGCTCTCCGCTTTATCCCCAGCAAGCCCCCACCGCCCCCAGGTTCCGCCGTCACCTCCAGGCTGGTGACGTTCCAGTGTGTCTCTGGTCTCAGCTTGGGAGAGCACGGGCCTCACATCTGAATACTTGGCTGCTGGTGACTCGTCTGAGGCAGTTACCGGTCGTTCTGTCACCTCAGGCACAAGCTGTCCAAAGTGGGGCCACTCCCAGGACACCCAGGCCCGTCCTCGTCCCCTGTGCCTGGCACGGGCCTGTGCCTGGCTCGTCAGTATCTGCTGAGAGGCGGCAGAGGCGTTGGCAGGAGCCTCCGCTTCCTTCCAGACTGACTTCTCCTGGACCTGCCACGTCCCCCCGCCCAGCCCTCCTCGCGTGGCCTCACCCAGCCAGGCCCATGCCCCCTCCTCCGGGACCCAGGGCCATCTCTCCTGGCTCCCACAGCGACCTCCTGGCTGTCTCGCTGGCTTCCTCCCCCAGATCAGCCTTCAGTGGCTGCCGGGTGAGCCTTACAGAACGGCCCTGCCTGTGTTGCCTGTGTGCTTACAAGCTGAGTGTGTGCCCTTCCCTCGTCAGTCTGGTCCAGGCTCCTCGGCATGCTGCCCGCGGCCCTCAGGGTGGAGCCTGGCTTCCTACCCGCCAGCTTCTGGCATCCGCCTTTTGCCCCGCCGGACCCCACTGCCGTGTCTGGCGTTTGCCACGGCTTCTGCTCTCTCTGCTGCAGTTCCCATCTCTGAGGCCCTGCTGAAGTCGCACATCCTCCGGGAAGCTTTCCCAGAATGCCCAGGTCTGCAGTCGGTCCTCCTTCCTCAAGCGCACACGAGTGACCGCTTGAAGATGGCTCTTTGGGCCCTGAAGAGACGCAGACACACGTCTTACCGTTTCAGCTGGGCTCCAGGTTCCTCAAAAGTGAGAGCGTGTCTGGGCAGCTCATGTTCTTCACCAGCCTCAGTCGATCTGTTGAGGGGAGAGGAGCCTCCTGTTCGGACGGTGCGTGTGGCGTGCCGGCAGGGCTTTAGGAGGAGGCACTGATCAGGGCCGTGGCGTCCCAGCGTGCCTTTCCCGTGTTCTCTGGGCTGCGGCGACCTGGGTGTGGCCAGGACCTGCCTCCTGGAGGCATCTGCTTGCCTCCTCGCGTTGTGTGCGAGGGCCTTGTGGGAACCAGGGCTCCGGAAGGCCCCAGCCTGCACTTGGGCCTTGCGTGGTGCACGTCGCTTTTGTTCTCGAAGGGTTCTTCGTCCTGTGCTGCTGCTTTCCTCTGGTGAAACCCGTGTGTCATGATTTGCCCCCCTAACCACTGCTGAGTGTGTCATTCAGTGGCAGCAAGTTCGTTCACAGCGTTGTGCCTCGTCACTGCTGATTGCAGTGTCTTTCGTCAGCACCCCAAACACAAACTGTTCCCCTGAAGCCGTGGCCCCCGCCCCCGCCCCCCAGCCCTGGGAGCCTCTCCTCCACGCTGTCTCCAGGAATGTGCCTGCAGTCTCGCCAGCTCGCGCGAGTGGGACCTCACACTGCTTGTCCTTGTGTGTCTGCCTTGCTCGCTTAGCAGAGTATTTACAAGGGCCGCCTGTACTGTAGCACATAGCAAGACTTCGTGCCTTTCCATGGCTGAATGACCATTTGTGTGCCCACTCACCTGCTGATGGAAACTTGTGCGGTTTCCCCCTTCTGGATACTGTGAACAACGCCGTCGCAAACACTAGCACTTGACGTGTGTCTGAGGTTCGGTTTTAACTTCTTTTGGATACGTGCTTGGGAACGAGATTGCTGGATTATATATTAACTCTGTGGAACTTTCTTAGAAACTGCCAAGCTCTTTGCTTGATTTTATATTCTGTGACTTTTCTTTTTCTGCTTGGGACGAGGTCTCACCAGCTTGCCCAGTCTGGTCTTGTACCCATGGGCTCAGGCAGTCCTCTCACCTCAGCCTCCTAGAGTGCTGGGATCACAGGCTTGACCCACATACACAGTTTTCAATGACTGGATGGCTCTCCAGTTTTGGGATGAGCTGTGGTTTATTTACTTAGTTCCCTGTGTTGACCATTTAGCAGGTATTCAGTATGTATTTTAATAAGTCCTTTTAGAATAGATTATATAGTCTGTTTAATAACAGGTTATAGATTATTAATAGATTCTGTAGAATAGTATATGAATCGTTCTGTAGAAATAGAACCACCGAGTCACAGTATAGGAACATTTTACAGGCTTAAAGCACATCTCCAGATTGTCATTCAGAAAGGCTGGTTCAGTTGACATCTCCAGCAGTGTGTGAACCTGGTTTCTACCCCAATTCTAGATGTTAGGTTGAACCATGTGAAAACATCGGTATTTAATAGTTTTGACCTATAAAAACAGCAATTTTGTATCATTCAACTTGAAATATAACTTTTAAAATTGGTATATAAAAATATATTTTTAGTATTTGTGCTTATTTTTTGATGACTGCTGAGAGGAACTTTTTTCATCTAGTGATCGGCCGTCTGCATTATGTGAAATACCTACTCATGCTTTCTTTATTATTCTCTCTTGGTTTCTGTTTTCTTCGTATTTTAAGGGCTCTCTTTATTAGACCTGTCCTTTCATATATTGCAGTATTTTCTGAAGTTGATCATTTTTTCAGCATGTAGAAGTTTAACATTTTTATATGTCCACGTGTTTTGGCGGCTTTTTTGATACCTGGAAATATTGTGCCTGTCTGTCTCTCTTTGGAACAGTGCAGTGTTTGGATATTACTATTATTCAGCTATCTTTATTTATTTATTTATTTTGAGTTGGAGTCTCACTCTGTTGCCCAGGCTGGAGTGCAGTGGCACACTCACGGCCACCCCAGCGCCAGCCTGCTGGGCTCCGGCCATCCTTCCGCTTCAGCCTTCCAAGCAGCCAGAACTACAGGTGTGCAGTGTCATGCCCAGCTAATTTTTTTGATTTATTGTAGAGACGAGGTCTCGCCAAGTTGCCCGGACTGGTCTCAAACCCTTGGGCTCAGGTAGTCCACTCACTTCGGCCTCCCAAAGTGCTGGGATTACAGGCTGAGCCCCACCGAGCCTGGCCCAGATATCTTAATTTTTAAAGAAAGGCTTTTTTGGTGTTTTATACCAGTTTTAATTGGCTGCATTTCATTGAATCTAAGAAGTCATCAATTGTAAGACACATTAATATTTAAAATGCTCATTTAAAGAAGAATAAGATACCACTTACACTGTGACATGCCAGTGCTTACCAGATACATCTTGACTCAGAGGTGTGAAAATACAGAAACAAAAAGCAGCTCTGAACTCATGAAATGCCATGTTTAGTAAGTCCTGACTGTTGCCTAGTGAGGCTGTGCACGTGTTGGCAGTTTCCTTGGACGATGGTCTTCGTTGAAGATTTCAACCCAGCCCTGGCACCATCTTTGAGCGTGCTTCTAATCCATCCTAAGTGGAGCTTTGTGAACACCCCGGATCTCCAGGTTTGCTGGAGCCCCAGAGGCCGTCTGTTCCAAGTCCGTATGTGACTTAGACTCCTATATATACAACCTCCCTTCTGGGGACACGATAATCTTTCATGCCAAATGGTATGAATTGTTGGGAGCTTGGTTTTAGTTCACTGTCGCTACCCAAGGGGGCCGCTGATCACTTGCTGGGTCCAGGTACAAGCCTTCTACGCCCTAACTTGGTGTCTCATCAGAGACACCCAGAATCTGGGGCTGTGACCCTGTGCTCACGTGGGCCTGCTTCTGGCCAGCAGGGGGCGGTCTTGCACCTTCATCGGGTCCGGTGCTTCTGGAGTCCCTGGAGTGCAGCGGCCCCAGGGGCCTGGAGTCTCTGGGGACGTGGGCCCAGGGCTTGCTGCTTGAGTGTTGCCAGCCGGCGTCTTTGGAGAGCTGCTGGAGACAGGGCCTGTGCCCGCACAGCCCAGCAGTCCCGCTTGGCCTGAGCTCTGTCGGCCCTTTTCAGCCACCCCCGACAAAGGGAGGGGCACCTGCAGGTGCTGTCTTGCCAGCGAAACAAAGGTTGACTCCGTTCTTCCGGCGCGCCGAGCAGTCCTGTGGCCAGGCCAGCACTTCATGGCTCTTCTACTCGGGAGAGTAAGGTGGACGTGGCCGCCGGAGAAGTGCTTCTGAACAAACACCTTTTCAGCACAGCGGAAATGTCCCCTGGCTGCGTATGTGTCTTCTGCTTTTGCATGAAGGCCTGTACGTTTGGTGGCCATTGCTGTGCTAAACTCTGGTGTGGGCGTGTGCTCTTGGAGCCGTGGCCACCGCCGTGCTTCCTGAGCCTTGGCCCCCTCTCCTGCCTGGGGGGGTGAAGCTCCTCCCTCCCTCGCGCTCGCGCTCGCGCTCACTTACCTCCTAGTCACGGCCTGCTAAGCGCTGGCCAGGCCGCGTGCTCACGGAGCTACGTGCAGACCGTGTTTCCTAGCTTTGGCCCCCTCCCCCACCTTGGGGAGGCGAGTCTCCTCTCTCCCTCTCTAAATTACTTCCCAAACAAAATATATTTTCTAACGAAAGAAAAAGAAAGGCTTTGCAGCTGGTAAACGACGTCGTCTTCCATCCCACGTCTGCGGCCTGTTACTGGGACTGTCTTTCTCCTGCTACAGGTGATGGGAGAAGACATCTTCCCGGAAAAGATGAGAGGTGACTTGCAGCCGGAGGTGGAGTGTGTGGGCCCTGCGGCCCTGGCTGCCTTGGTGACCACGACCTCGGAAGAATTCGAAGACAAGTGGTTCAGGAAGATCAAAGACCACTTCTGCCCCTCGGAGGGTCACTTTCTTCCAGGGATCCAGGTTTCGGCTGCGGGGGCTCTTCACAAACAAAGCCGAAGGCGTCTCTCACTGTGTGAATTGTCCTTGTTTGTTTCGGACAGGATCCCTTGCCAGTCACAGAATATAGGGCATTAAAACGATTATATGTTAGAAAACTGGCTTCTCTTCCAGATGATTTCTCTCGCATTCGGCTTATTTTTTGTTTTCTCTTTAGGCTTCTGCCTTTCCCTTGTGAGCTCTGTGTCTCCGGCCTACTCTCCCTTTACAAATCTGTCGGTCCTATTTACCACAATACTGGAAACAAAAGGGGAAAAAGTAAAAACAAAAACAAAACTGTTGGGACAGCGTGGACAGGGATTTTCAGTTTGGGGTATTTTAAAACCATCGCTACGATAGCCGCAGCGGAGGAATGAATCAGCATTGTTTGGCAAATTCGTTGGGCCTGACCGAGAATGGTGAAGGTGAGAACAGGCTGTCCCGCGAGGGTGTGTCCAGGCCTGCAAAGGGTCTCGCGACAGTCTCCCTCCTTGAATATTGGCGGCAAGCCCAGCGCGGCGAGGGATCCTGGTCAGAGACAAGGACCCTGTGGCCCGGGCCCCAGCCAGCCCCATCTCGGCGTGCGGTCGCAGCCCTCTTGCCTCAGCCCCTGGGGCGGTACTCAGCACGGAAGAACGCCTGCTTCACATGCTGTGGACGTGTGCGGCCACCACCATCCACCGGGGGCACGCGTGCCAGGCGAGGCGGGCGGAGTTGCAGACGCAAATCTCGCGCAGTGGGCGGTGAGCCTGCTTGCCCTCTGCTCACGCTGTGTCCTCGTGAAGGCCGCTGGCGCCGCGGTATCCTCGAAAAGGCAGTCTGGAACAAAGCATCGGGTGCCTTGCCCACAGAGGACAGAAGCGTGACAGCCACGGGGTACTGTGTCCAGGCGACCGTCCTGTCCTCTGCCACACGCCACGATCTGCGGCCCCTTCGGCTACTTCATGAGTTCCAGGCTTTAAGAGGGGTTTAGCAGCAAGCCGGCGCCGCGCCCAGGGCCGCCCCTCATGGCTTCCCCTCGACCTCAGCGGGATCTGCCCCGGCTCTGCTCGCGTGCCCTTCCCTGGCTCCCCGCCCCGGACGGGAGGGCCGGTCCTGGCTGCGTTGACCCGCTCGGCGGCCTTCAGGACCTGGCCGGTGGCGGCACGCTTCGCCTTTCCTCTCTGAGGTGAGGGTCCCTGTTCGTCATGCAGCGAGCTACCTAGTGTCAGGCACCGTGCGGCCACGGGGACAGTGAGTGCCGTGGCCTCCGCCGTCTGTGGGGGACTGCGCTCAGGGCAGAGCGGGGCCCTGCGGCTGCCAAGCCCCGCGTGGGGCGTTTTCGGCCCGGGGCTCAGCCCTTCCCGGCCCCTCTTTCGCGGCCGCGACGCCCCTCCCCCCACTGGGGCTGGTTGGCCTTTGAACTTCAGGCCTGCCTCGAACCTGGGTGACGCACCCCTGCTCCCCCCGACTCTCCCCTGCGCTGGCCCCCGCCCCTCTGTTCCCCATGTTGCCTGACGGTTTTCCGTGACACGCTCGCCGTTTTGTGGAGTCAGGGCCCGTGACAGTGTTTGTATCCCCAGACGACGCCTGGCCTCTCGCTGCCCATGTGCCGAAGGCGCTGCTGAGTTAACTGGCCGGCACGTTTCTTGGGGGGGAAGGCCAGTGCCCCCAGGTGTGACACCGTGCCGGCAGTCCCGCGGCCAGCCTGCTTCTCCGCAGCAAAACCTCACCCTGTCCAGCTTCCCAGCAATGTCCCTCCCCCTCCCAAGCCCTCCCGGCTTCTGGCCTTTGTCCCGGCCCCCTGCTGGCCTCGCCATGCTTTGGGCCTTCAGTCCAGGCCTCCCTCCTAGGCCTCTATCAGCACAGCCCGTCTGCCCTGCGGCCCTCCCGGACCCTGTCACACCCCCCTCGCCCCCTGGCCTTCCGGCAGCGGTGAGTCACGCCAGGGCAGGCCCAGCCTCTTGCAGGGACGCCTGGGCTGGAGGGGGAGGGCACCGCAAGGCCCGGGACCTCCGGCTTCGACACACAAGCCAGCACGTCGTCCCCAGCCCAGGCGGCGAGGGGGCTGGCCGAGCAGGACCCGTGCCCAGGGAGAGCCTTCGGGCCGCCTGTTCAGACAACCGCCAGCTTCAGTGAGTGAGCCCTTGGGAGGCGAGGGTTGTGGGGTTCCCGAGATGTCCATACTCGGGGGAGGAGGCTGTGGGCCGCTCCTCGCCTCCTGCCTCTCAAAAGGCTGGCGTTGGTGTTCCCTCCCTTGGGAGTCCAGGCCCACAGGGATGGGCCCAGCCTCGAGCTGTGGGGCTCGGACCGACGTTGTCAGACGAGGCCGGATCACGGTGCACGTCGCAGTGGCTCAGACAACAAATGTTTCTTTCTTTCTCACTATGCATCCCTCACGGCAGTGGGCCGGGAGTGGGAACCCCGGCTGGCGGAGGAGGCTTCGCCCGGAGGGCTGCTCCTGGCTGGCTCTCCGGGCTTCTGCCCTGAGGCGATCCTCCACACCTCTGCCCGATCCTGCCATGAAAATCCCTCGGGGCTCCGGCAGGTAGGGCATCACATGTCACACCGCACACAGGCGACCAGCCCTACCGCACCCCGGCGGGAGGAGGCATGCTGCTGGGGAGCGCGTCAGGAGTGGGGGCACGTTCCTGGCTGCTGGGCCTCCCCCACCTGCTCTTGGGTGGAGCTCAATGCAGGGGAGGCCACAAGGTGGTAGGAAGGCCGGGGAGGCTGCAGGAAGGCGGCCCCAGCAAGCATCCTCTCTCTCGGCCTCTCGGCTGAATGTGACCCAACTCGGAGTGTGCAGCTGGGCCAGGAACTCTACCCTCACCTCGGCAGTCAGCTGGGAGTCAGCAGGCTCAGGGCAGGTGAGAAGGCATCAGAGGCCGGGCACGGTGGCTCATGCCTGTGATCCCAGCAATTTGGGAGGCCGAGGCAGGAGGACTGCTTGAGCCCAGGAGTTCCAGACCAGCCTGGGCAATATAGTGAGACCTCTTCTCTACAATAAAAAAAGCCAGGTGTGGTGGCACATGCCTGTTGAAAGGCCCCAGCCAGCCCCTCCAAAAACTAAGCCTAGGTGTGGCCCCCACCTAAAACGGCGCTCCTGCCTAAGAAGTCACCCGGACAAACTAACATGGAGGCTCGGACACGGCTTTCCGGGTTCTTCCACAACAAAGCCCACCATTCCCGCGCCCCGTGAAAGCCCCTGCCAATCCCAAAAATGCCTCACCTGCCGGCCAATAGGTAACCGACAGGTCGCTTTAAATTTCTGTAAAGCCTGCCACACCCCTGCCTCCATGCTGCGATCTGATTCTCAGGTTCTGCAGCCACCGCGCCCACCCCCGGTTACATCTCTTGGCCTCAAAGAGTGTTGAGTCTCACCGTGCGCCGCCGCCTTTCACCTGCAGTCCCAGCTGCTTGGGAGGCTGAGGCTGAAGGCTCATCTGAGCCCAGGAGGGTGAGGCTGTGGTGGGCTGATGGTGCCACTGCCTTCCAGCCTGGGCAACCCCAATTTAAAAAAAAAAGAGAAGACCGTCCGCAGCCCAAGGGTTTACTACTCTTGTGTTTTGTTTTTACTTTCGGGAGCTAAGGAGAAAAAAGTTCAGTGAGGACAGGAATACAATCGAAAACAAGCCAAGAGGCGACGGCCTTGCGGTGGGCAGTTGGAGCCGGCTGGATGGGCAGGGCGTGGGGGGGCCGCACGTGCTGCCAGGGTCAGAGGCCACGAGGGTGGGGAGGGTGGGGCGGGGGAGGCCCTCTCTGCCCGCCCCGCAAGCGGCCAAGCT